GGGAGATTCCATCATAGGAAGGGATTAAATCACCTTCAAAGAATGAATGAATGATATCCAGGTGTGAAACCTTACTGTAAAATATCAGAACATTTGATCTGGTTCATTGATAGATAGCCTATGTCTCCAGCATCAGGAACATTTGGCTCAGAATTTGAAAACCCATATTGGAAATGACACAATCTGGGTATTTTCCACAGGTCTGTAGATAGTTAACAGGAGAAAAGGGATGCTGGATTTAATGGGTTTTTGTCCGATTCATTTTATTCTCATTTTATTCATATTTATTGCAAATTAAAGCAATTGAGACAATGGTATTTGAAGTTGTTGGTGAGAAAGAATTCAGAGGCTTGAAGATGTAATCTGAAGGAAGTAGGAATATTGACAGTGGGACCTAACTGAAGAGAAAGATCTTATAAAAGTTAATAATTAAAAGGGAGCAAAGATGTGTTGTATAACACACATTAATATTTCTATTTTCTACTACACTTTAAGCTGTGCTGATACCATAAGAAATTTAGATATTTTTCTGAAGACCTGAGAGCTGAATTGACTCTTGTGATTGCAAGGAACTACTCCTTTCCTTATTCTTCTATCTATAGGAAAACACTACATTTTGTTTCAATCTGCCAAAGATCTAGACATAGTCAATAGCACATGATATTCTGGGGCTTTATAAAATGCAGGACAAATCTAAAATATTTTTACATACATTTTTAAGATACAGAATTTGAAGCACTTAGATGGATCAAGGTTTATTATGCAATAAAGTGATTTATAGTGGGCTTCAGCTACAAAAGATTCAGGCTGGAAAGCTAATGGTGAGTAAATTTCAAATCTACAAAAATGTGTTTCTGTCTTGTAAAGCTTTCTAACTCCTGTGATTAAAATATTTAATATTTTGATGAATGACAGGAGAATGATGTAATCCTGATTGAATGCAAAACTGATAGCCTTCATTGAAACACACATTTAGATATATAAAGATTGATGCATTAAAAAAATAAATATTGCAGTTTTGTTTTTTATATTCCAGTTCTTAAATACAAGCATTTTTAAAAGAAGCAAAATATACTGTCCTCTTAATTTAAATATTATATACTATTTGCTTATAAGACTAAACATTTACTAAGCTGAACCCTTATTTTTATCTAACCTTGTGCCTGGCTCTTGCTGGAGACCATTCAGAGAAATGCCATGGAAACTGTATATGGTATTTGTGCTCCATTTCTATTGTTCTGGAGAAACACATTGTTAATCCAATGACAGATAGAATATCACCAGTGGTGGGATTCAAATTTTTTTACTACCGATTCTGTGGGCGTGCCTTGGTGGTCATGTGACTGGGTGACTGTAGCTGGTTGGTCATGTGGTTGGGTGGCCATGGCTGGTTGGTATATGATTGGGTGTGTGTGGCCAACTTGACATCACTCACTTCAAGGGGCACTTTGCCTGGCCTCTCCTTGCCTTAAATGCCTCAACGAGATATGAGATACAATTTCATTGTCTATTTATTTACTACTACTGAACATCCAAAATATACTATTTAATCCTATGTATATGTGCCATATGTGTACATACATAAACTCAATTTACATACATACATAACAGTTTAAACTCAGTTTATGGTCTAGAAATAAAAGAACCCCTTTCCAACAGTGACCAGAGCATGATTGACTTTTGTCTCAACATATGTCCTCACAAAAATCATCATAATGATGGGATCCCCAATTATAAATTTAAAAAAGCCAACTGTGATCTCATAGACACCAACCTCTCATCTCTTGACTGGCAAATTCTATTTACTGGCTGCAATACTGCTGAAGACCATTACAACATTTTTTTGCCTGAAATCAAAAGGCAGCATTTTAGGACCCACACTCTTTATACTTTACATAAATGACCTTTGCAATCATATTATAAGCAACTGTATTCTCTTCGCTGATGATGCTGATGAAGTAAAACTATCCGACAATGCTGCTGGCCTATAAAGAGACCTTGACTATGTGTCAGAATGGTTAAACAATTGGCAATTCCAAATCTCAACCAACAAATGCTCTGTCTTACACATTGGCAAAAAAAATCAGAACACCAAATACAAGCTGGGTGGATACGACTTCGTAGATGACCCTCACTCTGTCAAGGACCTTGGAGTACTTATCTCAAATGATCTAAGCGCCAGAGCTCACTGTAACAGCATTGCCGAAAAGGCCTTAAGAGTTGTTAACCTAATCTTGTGAAGTTTCTTCTCCGGTAATATTGTACTGCAAACTAGGGCATACAAAACATTTGCTAGACCCATTCTCAAATACAGTTTATCTGCATGGAATCTGCACTGCATATCGGACAATAATACAATTGAACGAGTCCAAAAGTATTTCACAAGAAGAGTCCTCCACTCCTCTGCTCACAACAAAATACCTTAGACCACCAGGCTTGAAATTTTGGTCTTAGACAACCTAGAACTACGCTGCCTACTGTCTGACCTAAGCATAGTACAGAAAATTATTTGCTACAACATCTTACTTTTCAATGACTACTTCAGCTTCAACTGCAATAATACATGTTTTGCTCCTGGGGGTGTTTTATTTGCTTTTGTTTGCATGATGCTCTTTTGGTTGACTTATCTTTTTACTAGATCATTTTTTCAGTTATTCAGGAGTCTAGTGGTCCACTTCAGGAAACTCAGTTTTGCAGCAATTCTTCTCAGCCCCAAGAAGTTTACAATCAACAAGTCTCTCTCTGTCTCTGTCTCTCTCTGTGTCTCTTCTCTCTCTCTCTCTCTCCCTCCCTCTCTCTCTCTCTCTCTCTCTCTCTCTCTCTCTCTCTCTCTCTCTCCTCTCTCTCTCTCTCTCTTCTGGAGGTGGGGTTAGGGTTAGGGACCATAGTAAGAGTCAGTTGCCAAGCATCCAAATTTGGAACACCTGACCATGGAGAGGCTATGAGGATCACTCTGACCAACAGAGATTCGAGGCTTTCTCTTTCTTTCTTTTGTTTCTTGTCTCCCTTCTCTCTCTGTGTCTCTTCTCTCTCTCTCTCTCTCTCTCTCTCTCTCTCTCTCTCTCTCTCTCTCTCTCTCTCCTCTCTCTCTCTCTCTCTCTCTCTCTCTCTCTCTCTCTCTCTCTCTCCTCTTCCTTTGGATGAAGCCGGCATACTTACTCAGCCCCCTCTTCCCTTCCTGTTTGTTATCAGGGAGGCACAATCAGGTACAGGAGAGCTTCCACCACTCCCTCTCCTTTTCTTAACAAGCATTTGGCTTTCCTAAAGCCATTTGGCTGCAGCCCCTCCTCCAAACTCCACCATCACTGCAATTGATCGCACCATGGCTTCTGGCTGCTGGCATTGGCAGCTAGTCAATTGGTTGGTGGCTAACTGTCCCCGGGTGGTGAAAAGCCCAGGACAAACCTGTCTTTGGTGAATGGCCATGCCAAAGAGTGTGGGATGGAGGGGCTGTGGCCCATCAGCCAGGGCAAATGAATGGGGGCATGTTAGCTGAGGAGAAAAGCCAGAGGTGAATCACCTGAGGAGAAACCCTGGCAGAAAAGGAGGTGTGGCCAAGGGTGGGAGCCAAAAAGTCCTAGACCCGCAGAGGCAGCCAAAAAAGCCAATGCAATTCTAAGATGCATTTACAGAGGGATACAATCAAGATCAAGTGAGGTACTAATACCACTCTATAAAGCCTTAGTAAGACCACACCTAGAGTACTGCATCCAGTTTTGGTCACCACACTATAAAAAAGATGTTGAGACTCTAGAAAAAGGGCAGAGAAGAGCAATCAGAATGATTAGGGAACTGGAGACTAAAACATATGAAGAACGGTTACAGGAACTGGGCATGGCTAGTCTAGTGAAGAGAAGGACCAGAGAGATATGATAGCAGTATTCCAATATTTGAGGGGCTGTCACAGAGAGGAAGGGATCAAGCTATTTTCCAAGACACCTCAAGGCCAGACAAGGAATAGTGGATGGAACCTGATCAAAGAGAGATTCAACTTGGAAATAAGGATAAATTTTCTGACAGTGAGAACAGTCAATCAATGGAATAGCTTGCCTTCAGAAATTGTGAGAGCTTCATCACTGGAGGCTTTCAAGAAGAGATTAGATTGCTATTTGTCAGAAATGGTGTAGGGTCTCCTAATTGGGAGGGGGGTTGGGCTAGATGACCTACAAGGTCCCTTCCAATTCTCTTAATGTGATTTTTGAACTAAATGAAGTTTCAGTGAAAATGTTATGCCATTAGACATTCATTGGAGATTAGAAACCAGTGTTACATTCTAAAAAGAGTTGCTACAGCCCTCTAAATGATAAATGCTAAAAAAATATCAGCCAATGGTCTCTACCTTTAGTACCATGCAAGCTCATTTTTTTGATGACTGAGGTTTCATAAAACAATGAGTAGAACACTTTCCTCCCTTGGAAGACAAGATAGCTTTGTACTAAGATATAATGATCTCTGGGTGGTGGATTCCAAGGTTGGCAGTCCAGATCTTCTTAAACTCTCCAATTCCTTTTCAGAGTCTCGAAAACAGATACAGAAACCAAATGGCACTTTCCATTTCAGTCAGGGATTTCAAATGAGTCAGAGCCATGTTTTTACAATGCTGTCTAGTGTTTCATTGTCAGAGGATAGTAAATAATTAACAAGAACATCTATGGCAAGAAAAGTAGTGATACTGTATCAGTATTATGCTTCATATTTAATATTGCTTCAAGCCAAATCATGGAAGCTTTACACTTAAATGGTAAGCTATTTTTTGAAGTCATATATTCAGGGAATATCATCAGAAAAGGAGGAGTGGGGGACTGAAGTAATAAGCTGTGATATGGAACTCAATCATATCAACTCAATTCAGAGTTACATTTAATTTGGTGAAATTATTCCCAGTTAGAAATGTTCATAACATTGCAATATAGTTGATAGTTTGAATTGTTTATAATTATATTTCATTTACTGTTCTTGGGGGCTCATAGATTTTTCTTTATGCTTTTTTCCTGGTATAGTTCTTCTCTCCTATTCAGAGAAGTTGGCTGCCTATTTCCTACTGTTCTTGTTGATGACTTACTCAACAGCAGGTAAAAGTCTTGCATTTTAAAAATTGAACTTGTGATATTTGTGTGTGTGCGCTTTATTTAAAGATCAACTAGTTTAATTGTTAGATTAAAAACTATAAATTTCATCAGTTAATTGCAGGAATTATACTTTAATGGAAAAAGGAATGAACATTAGATGAATTTTTTATTTTAACTTTTTGTTCTAAAACATGAAGAAATGATTAAAGATGGCCTATTATTACTGAATGGCAGATTAAGCTCATGAAATTACTTACATTTAATTTACAGTAATTTACACTTTTTTCAATAATGTTATGTAGCGGGGGTGGGTGGGAGAAGGGAATATGAGGAGGATGTTTTGGTGGGAAGAGGAGGAGACAGAGGGAGTGTGAGAGAAGGAAGGTGGGGTTTTTTTATTTGGTCTGGGGAAAAAAAGGCCAGAAGGTAAGGATAGGGAGAATCCTATCTTTTCTAGGCTGGGGAAAAAGAAGGCCTGAAAGCACAGGAAAAGAGGCTTAAGGGGGAAATAGAGAAAGAGGCCTGGAGAAAGAGAGAGAGAGTGAAAGCAATAGGAAGGATAGGAGAGGCTTCTGTGGGGCAAACTTGAGGGAAAGAAGGGGATTAGAGAGGAGAAGCTTCTGTGGGGCAAGCAGAGGAATCCACAAAGGAGCAGAGGAGATAGAAGAGAGCTCAGCAGGCAATTCAAGAGGAGAGAGGAGAGAGAGAGAAAGGAAGAAGAGCCAACCAGTCACATGAATCCTGCATCACGTGACACACGGCTGGGAAACGACTGACCATCACCCCACCACATGACCTGGCTGCTGAGAGGATACTGACCACTCTGACACTAGTAGTGCCTGAGCGAGGGACCAGTGTGGACCGGCGGCCATACCAAGAGGGCAAGGAGATCCCGGACTCCAGTGGCCCTTATGGGGGTAGCGCTACAGTTACAACAATTCTTTTAAAATATGTTGATAATATGTTTTTCTTAAAACTTTGTTGATTAATGTATAATTTAATTGGTCATATACTCATTTTTTTTAGCATTAGTCTCAGCTTTGTCGACTTATTTATCTATGTTCTAATCAAGCATGCCTAGAAGTAACCACTTAGTCCAGGGGTATCAAACTGGATTTCTCTGAAGACTGGATCAGCTTGTATTTCTCCTCCACAGCCTGACCAGGGGGAGAGATGGGATGGACACCTTCTGCAGGACCCTGCCAGCTAAAACAGGGCATGGGAAACTACACGTGGCTTCCCCATGCCCCATTTTTGGCCTAGACGTCCTCCTGCAACACCCTGCTGGCCAAAACAGGGCATGGGAGGGCTGTGTGTGGTTCCTCCCACACCCCATTTTGGCTGCCAGAGACACCCTGGCCAGTCCTTTGCTATTTCTAGGCCAGCCCTATGGGCCAGATTTAAGCACCCCATGGACTGGATGTGGCCCGCGGGCCTTGAGTTTGACACTCCTGACTTAGTCTATCACTTAGCACTTTAATGGAAAGTCTGACAGCCCAGAATAAAAAGAGAAATTAGTGTAGGACTAGCATGATGAATCTTAATAGCTTAATAGTGAATACACCCATATAATGTTTTAAATTTCCAAATGTGTTTATTACTTCAAAATATCATACTTCCTATATTTAAGAAAGTTGTCTTACTCTGTGAAATACTTTGCCTTGAAATTGATATTAATTAAACTGTCCCTATGAATGCTTCTGCTCAGTAGCAAAAAACTGAGTAGGATTAAGTACTAAGCATTAGTAATCTTCAGTAGTAGTATTTCAGATCATCTAGCTACTTTTTATCCCCTTCATATTGTCCCCATCCCCAAATTAATTTCATTACAAAAATCTAACTTGCTGAAAAATTCAGCCTTAGAAATCAAAATAGATGGTTGGAAGAAATTACAAAGCAAAAAATAAATTTGAACCCAGAATTGTTTTTATTAGGAATACTGGACCTGAAAATGAATAAAAACCTTCAATACATTATATTGCACATACTTACCACAGCAAGAATCACCTTCGCAAAAAATTGGAAACAAAAAAATATACCGTCAGATGAATTGTAATTAGGAAAATTCTAGAATGCGCAGAGATGGATAAAATGACTATTGAGTTGAAAGAGAGAGAGGATTTGGACTATTATGAAATATGGAATAAAATGTACAGTTGGCTCGAAAATAAAAATCAGAACAAGAAATGTTTAACTTAATATTGATTAAATTAAAGTAACTGAACAACATTAAATAGAGATAAATATAAATGAATATAAATGTGTAGATAAGAACAAATAAATATTATAATGTGTATATATATATATGTTGGAGTAATGCTATTATTCTACTATTGAGTAGTAAATAGAAATGATAGAATAGAGAACTACAAAAGCAAAGTACATAAGTTGATACGAAATGCTGTAAAATTACCATTAATGTTATATAATGTTCAATACATTATGTTTTGACATGTTTTGTTTTTATATATGTGTGATTGTTTTTTGTGTTGTTTTTAAAGACAAACTGTTTAATAAAAATATTTTAAAAAAGAAAAGAAATCAAAATAGAGAGCTCCTTCATTCTTGTAACAAAAATATCAGAAGAAATCTTGTTCCCCAAATTTTTATGAGCTACAGATTCATATCTGATGGTAAAGTGCAGTTCACAAAACCTTACACTTTTAAATAATTTTTTTCCAATGTAATAATTGGAAAAGTTGCTGACAAATTCCTTTTGATTTGTTTTCCAGCACAGATTAATATAACTCTCCTGTTTCAATGCTTTGTAAAGAAACCCTGCACTTTTACCCTATACTGTAATTTTAATTACTGTTAGATTTATAATCTCTTTGATTCAAAGGTCCAAGTCCTGATGTCTTTATGGATGCAGCAGCAGTTTGCGTGGGTCTGTACAATTTCTACCTACTGGCCCTCTTCCATCTATTGTACTAATTCAATATACAAATTAGGTTCTTCTTATGCAGCTAATATACCTTAAAAAAAGACTGGAGCCCTGGCAAGAATCTCCTGGATTTGCAGGCCTCAAGGGAACTGCTGCTTTTGTCTTCACTAAATGTATGCTTCCATTATGTAATAAGTAACCTATGAATTTTGACTCATGAAATACAAACATAGCTTGTAATTCAAATGATGCAAATCAGCACAGTTTATGAACATCTCATCAGAGATTATCAATATAACAGAGCTCACTGTAACAACATTGTCAAAAAGCCACTAAGAGTTGTTAACCTAATCTTGTGTAGCTTCTTCTCTGGCAATATTTTACTACTAACTAGAGCATACAAAACATTTGCTAGACCAATTCTCGAATACAGCTCATCTGTTTGGGACCTGCACTGCAAATCAGACATTAATACAATTGAGAGAGTCCAGAGATATTTCACGAGAAGAGTCCTCCACTCCTTTGCTCTCAACAGAATACCTTATGCCACCAGACTTGAAATTTTGGGCTTAGGCAATTTAGAACTACACCGCCTTCGGTCTGACCTAAACATAGTACACAAAATTATCTGCTACAACATCCTACCTGTCAATGACTACTTCAGCTTCAACTGCAATAAGACACGAGCACACAATAGATACAAACTTAAGGTAAACCGCTCCAAACTCAATTGCAGAAAATATGACTTCAGCAACAGAGTGGTCAATGTCTGGAATGCACTACCATACTCTGTGGTTACATACCCAAACCCCTATAACTTTAACTTTAACCTGTCTACTGTTAACCTCACCCCATTCCTAAGAGGTCTGTAAGGGGTGTGCATAAGTGCATCAACGTACCTACTGTCCCTGTCCTATTATCCCTTTTTATTCGTATCCATTTCATTTATTCATAATTATGTTTTATACTTTTACCTGTTATCTTATATATGCTTGTCAAATAAATAAATAAAATAAATAAATAGACAGATAGATAGATGAAAGATAGTTAGAAAGATAGAAAGATAGATGATAGATGGATGGATGAAAAGAATGATGGATCTATAGATTTCACATTAAATCAACTTCTGTCTTTAGGTTTCAGAAGCCCACTGATTATGCTTCAGCACTATGAGGGCAGTGGAATCAAACTCACCTGTAAAACTCAAGTAGAAGAATCACCTGAGCTTTTTCAGATTTCATGGATGGACAGCAAAGGGCAGGAACTTGCTTCTGCTCCAGTCGTTCATAACAGCACCAATCTGGATATTCTTCTAGAGCCAGGTGCTGGCAATGCTCTCTCCTGTAGGATTATCAAAAAATCTTCAAATCTAGTATTGGGATCAACCTCGCTTGTCATTGAAGGTGAATAAGAAACAGTGAGATGTTATTCTTATGAACAATTTTTTTGTATTATTTCCTATTTGCTATGTGAACTGCTTGGGGATAGCATTAGATGTATTGTCCTGCATCTGTATATTGAATAGAGTATATACAATATATATACTTAGGGCCAAGGTCCATATGGATATGATTTTCCTACCTGGTGAAGCTTAATTGGAAAATATAATATCACTTTGTAAAATAGGAAATACTAACGAGAGGATCCATTTTCCCATCTTACAGATTGACTCATGGTTTTTCTTCATAGCTAATGTGAAAGTGCTTGAGTTTTATTGTTCGCAGGTCCTTAATATTAACCATAACTTTAAAAAAATTAATTCAGGTACTTTATTTTACAGTTACATTTAGCTTGAATAAATGCTCATCATTTTAGAGTTGTACATAAATGATAGGTTGATTCTAGTTTTAATCATGCTTACATTAGATGAGAGCAAGTTTGGTGTAACAGTTAAGGCATCAGGCTATAAATGACTGTGACTTTTAGTCCCATTTTAGGCACAAAACCAATGGGCCAGTCACTCTCTCTTAGCCCTTGGAAGGAGGAAATGGCACTGTTGAAAAACCATGGCAAGAAAATTGCAGGGTTCAAGCAATTTTAGGAATCAAAAACTGACTAGAAAACACAATAATCAGTATGTATACATGTATGTTGTAATAGTACTTAGACTTATATGTCACTCCATAGTCGTTTACAGCACTCTCTGAGTGATTTAAAAATGTCAGCATATTGCCCCCAACAATTTGAGTCCTCATTTTATTGACCCCGGAAGGATGACACCTAAGTCAACTTTGAACCAGTCAAGATTGAACTCTGGCAGGGGTCTGCAATACTGCATTCTAACCACTGCACCACCATGGATCTATATAGTATGTATATACATATTAAAATACTTATAAACATTAATCACACCTAATTTAAATCTTATTTATTTATTTATTTATTTATTTATTTATTTATTTATTTATTTATTCAGTAGGTGTGTTCTTTGCTTCTTCTAGATACTAGCGACAATTTCAGCAGTCAATGAGTCTGGTATCACTGGATCACTGAAAGTGCCATACTATGAAATTTGGCTATGTTCCTACTCCAACCCATTAATCATTATATTTGTTCTATTCCACAGAATAGACACTCTCTTTTATATCTGTCATACATACAACTTAATGCTTGTATGATATAATTTTATAAACCCAGGTTTAGATACAATCAAATGGACAGTTCTATAGAGATAGATAATAGTCATTGTGTGGAGCCCAATAGCACTCTTTCAAAATTCTCCATCATTTGCTATAGTCCTGCTTTCATTTTTCTTTTTGTCAGCCCTAGTTTAATTCAGTTTAAAGTGTTGTGATATTACAGATATATGGCATTTACCAATTAATAAAAGGTAGGCATAAAATAATGAAGTTTGTATGAAGTGAAACTGTAGATGAAGGTCAAAATTCTTAGTTTCTGAGATTGACCAACCTCCAGAATGAAAACATCAAATCTCTTAATTGTCTCTCTCTAACTTTTATTTCTTTAGCTTTCCGGTCATGAAACAACTGAAAAAAATCAAGATAATAAAGGGTCAAATTTAATGATAATTTCTTTCTACCTACAGATATCTTTTTCCCTGCCACATCTGGATTCATGGTTGCCTTTTTTCTGATTGCAATACTTAGCATTCTTATTATAATTGGCACTATATATAAATTAAAAAGTAAGTGTTATCATAAATATTATTAGAATATGACAAGTACATGGACACATGGACATCTGCCTGGTCAAATAATGAACCAAACCTAATGTCTTATTTTAAAATGAAAGTTTTAAAAAGCTCCTAACCATTTAGCAGTATATCGCATATAGTTATTTATTATCAGTTAAAAAAAAGATGGGCACGATGTCTAGCAGTTAATATGCTGGGCTTGTTGATTAGAAGGTTGGCAGTTCAAAACCCAAGCACTGTGTGACTGAGTGAGCTCACATTCTTGCCCCATCTCCTGACAACCTTGCATGCAAATACAAGTAGATAAATAGGTACCATTTTGGTGGTTAGGTAACAGCATTCCTGTGGTTGGCATATAGTTATGCTGGCCACATCATCATGAAAGCAAATTCAGACAATGCTGCCTCCCTCAGGTAGGAAATAAAGATGAACACTTCATTTTGTTCACGCCCCCAAGAATCAGACATGATTAGTCAGAGGAAACTACCCCCTTTTTTTAAAAAAAGAAAGGAAAATCATCATTAAAATCAGTGGTGGGTTTCAAAATTTTTTACTACTGGTTCTGTGGATGTGGCTTGGGGGGTGTGGCATGGTTTGGTGGGCATGCATGGTGGGTGTGGCAGGGGAAGGTTACTGCAAAATCCCCATTTCCTCACAATTAGCTCAGACTCAGGAGGCAGAGAATAGATGGGAGTGGGCCCAGTCAGACGTGGCATTTACCAGTTCTCCAAACTACTCAAAATTTCTGCTACCAGTTCTCCAGAACTGGTCAGAACCTGCTGAAACCCACCTCAGATTAAAATTATACTAGAATTTGGAGACCACCTCTAAGAATTTTATATATACACCAACAATCCTTTGAATTTATCAAATTACTTATTGGACATAGGAAATCATTATCTCATGATGTTTAAAATATTTTGTTCTATGTACTTATATTAAAAGGCATGTTTTTCATTCTAGGAGACAAACTGAAGATTGCTCAGGCAGGTCAGTTGTAATATCATCTTTCAAGAATGTTAAATGGGATGACATCAGTAGGAAATGATGATAAAACCTGGTAGTAATGGCTCTAGGCAAATTTGTATATAGTATCAGATGATGCATATTGGACACTCTGAAGTTCTGGGATATAAATCTAACTTGGGTGACAAGTCTAATTTTATATTATACCTGAGGGTAGGACAAGAAGCAATGGATGGAAGCTAATCAAAGAGACAACCAACCTAGAACCAACCTAGAACCAAAGAGAAATTTCCTGACAGTCAATCAGTGGAATGACTTTCCTCTAGAAGTTGTAGGTGCTCCAATACTGGAGGTTTTTAAGAAGAGATTGGACAATCATTTATCTGAAATAATATAGGGTTTCTTGCTTGAGCAGGGGGTTGGACTAAATCTTCAAGGTCCTTTCCAACTCTGTTATTCTGTTAAAGTGATTTAAAGAATATGAATAATTATGTTCTGATTATTGTTCCTATCCTTCATGTGCAGTAAATGAAAAGGATGCTCTACAGGATGGTAACTATATATTTTTCTTTCCTTCCTTCCTATTGCTGCTGTTTATTGATGCATAACTTGTAAAAACATAGTATGTTTGTACAAGAGGGAGTGATGTTACACATGTCACTGCACAAATACTTTAAATTACGTAATTAGCATAATTTGTTCAATAACTATTGGCCCTTCAAAGGTAAACTAGATTAGTACTATCTTTATTGTAGAGCTATAAAAAAACATAATTGTGGAAGTATGAATGTACCTGCTCCCTCATTCTTTTATCTTCATGTGAACTAGGAACAGGCTTATCTGAGATGTTTACTTACGTTACTTTCTTGGCTTTGGCTCAAATCCCTTTTATGCAGCCATTGTCTTGCTTGCAGTGCTTTTTCTTCTCCTTCAAGGCCATTTTCTTTACTCTCTACCATAATGTTGTGATACACATATAAAGTTGTCATGTCTTTTACAGGACTCTTATGCATGCAAGTATCTTATTGAGGCTAAAGTTGTAGTATGGGGGGGAGGGAACATAGCATTTATTCAAAGCTGCCAGTATCCTGCAATTTAAGGCTAAAACTGTTTAATAGTCTCCTAATATTTAGCCAATTTTATGATGTACTATATGTATATAGAACATATAAGTAAGGTGACCAGATTTTAACATTGGTAAAGAGGGATACCATTGTGAGCGTGGCTTATTTTGTGGGCATGGCTTGGAGGTCATGTGACTGGGTGGGCGTGGCTAGCTGGTCATGTGACCGGATGGCCATGGCTATGTGTATAGGGACTACTCAGAGAGCTGAAAAAAGGCATTTCTGAGAGGTCCTCGCACTTTTGACTGGTCCTCACACTTATGATCATCCTCACATTTATGCCCGTGCAGCATTCTTTTTTTTTTATTGAAAAAGTTTTACAAATACAAATTTTCCCATTTCCCTCCCCTTTCCCTCCCTAACCCTCCCTAATCCTCCCCTCCTCCCATGACTTCCCCAAGGTGAAATCCATATTCAAATCATATTATATCATACTTTACCGCCCTTCTATTCTCCCCCCTGTGTACTATACATTTTGACATTAAACTATTCTACCCCCTATATACTATACATTTCTACACAACATTCAACTAAAAGCTATCTGGTACTTCCTAGTTTGATATTTATTCTGCACATAATCTATCCATTTCTTCCACTCCCATACATAAGTCTCTTGAGTCCGATCTTTTAAGTATGCTGATATCTTCGCCATTTCTGCAAAACTGGCCACCTTCAAAGTCCATTCTTCAATAGTAGGCAAAACATCCCTTTTCCAATATTGACCAATCAGTAACCTAGCTGCTGTCACCATATACAATATCAATTTTGTTTCACCCATTGAAAAACCCTTAACTATGCCCATTAAAAACAATTGAGGAGAAAATTGGAGTTTTTTCTTCAGAACATTTTGCATAACCCACCAAATTTTTATCCAGAAAGCCTTCACTTTCTTGCAGGTCCACCATATATGATAATATGTAGCATCCAAACAATCACATCTCCAACATTTTGGTTGAACATTAGGATACATGCATGACAATTTCTTAGGATCTAAATGCCACCTATAAAACATTTTATAAAAATTTTCCCTCAAATTCTGTGACTGCGTAAATTTAACATTCTGAACCCATATTTTTTCCCACGTTTCCATCATAACTGGTTCTGCAAAGTTTTGCGCCCATTTTATCATACAATCTTTAACCAATTCAGTTTCTGAATCTCTTTCTAACAAAACATTATAAACCCTCTTGATATGCATTGGGCCTTTCTCTTTTATCTGTCTAACCAATTCTTCTTCATGCAACATTAAACCAGTTTTTTGATCTTCTCTCCATCTCAGTTGAAGTTGATTATACTGTAACCAGGTTAAATTAATCCCTTCTTCCAACAGTATATTTAATGTCTTTAGTTGCCATCTGCCCCATCATTAAAAAGTACTTCTTTATATAACAACTCCCCGAGTGACTTTATATTTATATTCCGTATAACATGACCAAGATCCAACCACAACGGTATTTTATAATCCCATTTGAATCGGTGCTTCTTCCATACTCTCATCAAGGAGTTTCTAAGCATATGGCTGTTGAATACTTTATCCACTTTATTTTCATAAAATAAATATGCATGCCAACCAAATTCAAGATCATAACTCTCTATATTCAATATTCCAGTCTTTGTCCTTCCAAACCAATCACTTGCTTGTGTCAACGCTGCTGCTTCATAGTACAATCGTAGGTTTGGAAGTTTAAGACCACTCCTTTCACGAACATCTTACATAATTTTCAATTTAACTCTTGGCCTTTTCTCATTCCAAACAAACTTATTCACTCCTTTTTGCCATTCCATCAGCTGTTTATCACTTTTAAGCACTGGAATCATTTGAAACAAAAATATAAATCTAGGTAGAACATTCATTTTAACTGCTGCTATTCTTCCAAGTAAAGACAGCTGCAGTTTTTTCCAGGTTTCCATATCCTTTTGTACCTTTTGCCACAACACTTCATAATTGTTTTGGAACAGTTTTATATTTGAATCTGCAACTTGAACTCCTAGATATCTCACCTTTGGTACTATTTCAAAGCCTACCTTCCTTTCAAGTTCCTTCTTTTGATCAACTGTCATATTTTTAACTATCATCTTGGTTTTTTTCTGATTCAATCTAAATCCTGATACCATACCATACTCTTTCATCTGAATTATTGATTCCATCGGCCGTGTTAGGGTAACAACCAGATCATCTGCAAATGCCCTTGTTCTGTAATCCTCTTGCCTTACAACTATTCCATTCAAAGTGCTCGAATCTCGTATTGTGTTCAACAAGACTTCTAGAGTTAGAATAAACAACAACGGGGATAACGGACAACCTTGTCTTGTGCCTTTTTCTATACTAAAGTTTGTAGTTAAGCTTCCATTAATGATAATTTGTGCTGTTTGCTCTTGATAAATTGCTGAAACCACCTGCATGAACTGATCCCCAAAGTCCATCTTTCTTAAAGTCTTTAATAGAAAGTTCCAATTCATTCGATCAAAGGCCTTCTCCGCATCCAGAAACACCAGCACTGCAGAGATCTGTTTATTCTTCTCAAGATATTCCAATAAATCTATAATTTGCCTCACATTATCCTTCATGTATCTGCCTTCTATAAATCCTGCTTGATCATGATGAATCACCTCTTGAATAACTGGCATTAATCTGTTGGCTAATACTTTTGCAAAAATTTTATAATATGTATTCAGGAGAGATATTGGTCTAAAATTTTCCGGTTTTATAGAACCTACTTCCTCTTTCGGTATCAAAGAAACAAAAGCTGCTTTCCATGAAGGGGGTATTTTACCCCCTTGTTGTATGCTACAAAATAAGTCTTTAAGATGTTCAGTCATTTCTGCTTGTAAAGTTTTACAATACACCACAGTTAAACCATCCGTTCCTGGAGCTTTAGCTGTTTTCAGTTGCTTAATAGCAACAATAATCTCCTCAACTGTTATTGGAAAACTCGTTCTTTCCTTTTGATCACTAGAAATTTTCATAACTCTCCTTTCTTCTAGATATTTATTTATAAGTTCATTCTGTATATCATCTTTAGCATATAATTTAGTATAATAATCTAAGAAGGCTTCTTTAATTAGTCTTTGTTGAAAAACTTCCTTCCCTCCATACTCAATACTGCCAATAGTCCGAATACTCTGTTGTTTCCTCAGTATGTAAGCTAACCACCTGCCCGGCTTATTAGCGTTACAAAATGTATTATGTTTCGCAAATTGTAAATTAGTTGCTGCTTGTTCCGCTGTAAGCATTTGAAATTGGTCTTTCAAAAGTTTTATAATTCCTTGTAGTTTTTCATCTGTTGGGTTTTTTATGAGCAACTGTTCTTTTTTCTTTATCTCTCCTTCCAATTCTAATCTTTTTCTTTGTCGATTTGATTTATGTTTAGAATTCATATGGATTAGTACCCCTCCGCATATACGCCTTACTCGCATCCCAAACAATTTCAATAGAGGTACCCTTATTCAAGTTCATTTCAAAAAATTCTTTCATTTGTTTTTTAAGTTCATTTACATTCTTTTCATATCTAAACAAGTTTTCATTTACTCTCCACGATCTTCTCTCATTCTTTCCCATTTCTATTTCTATCCATACCAGGCTATGGTCAGTTAAAGTCCTCGGAAATATCTTTGTTTTCTTTGTTTTTAAAAGTAAATCAGCTGTAAGTAGAATAAAATCAATTCTAGAGAAGGATCTATGTCTGTCTGAAAAAAAGGTAAAGTCCAATTCTTTTGGGTTGTGTGCTCTCCATATATCTTTCAATTCCAAATCTTCTTTCATATCAAAAAAGATCTGTGGTAATTTAACACATGACTTTGCCAAACTCTTTTCATCTGTTTTGGGATCTATTACTCCATTCCAATCTCCCATAAGTAAAATAGATCTGTAGTCCCATTGTAATATTTTAGAGTACAAGAATTTATAAAAATTTTCTTGTTGTTGATTAGGAGCATAAATTCCAATCACCAAAATTGGGCCATTATCTGTAGAAAGTTCAATTGCTATATATCTTCCACCGTCATCTGCTTCTAAAATTTTTGCTGGCAATCTTTTATTTATATAAATCACTACACCATTCTTTTTCTCTGAATTTGAGGCTATAAACTGTGCTCCTAATCTAGGATTTATCAAATATTTTTGATCTTCTTTCTAATATGAATTTCTTGTAGGCAAATAACATCATTATTAAATTGTCTCAAATAATGAAATATCTTCCTTCTTTTCTGTGGTGAATTCAATCCATTCACATTCCAAGATAAAAACTTAATTGTCATTTGTAGTCTCCTGAAGCGTTAAGAGCATTTGCTGAAGTTTCTGTTCCAGACTGGTAGTCTTCAGCTTAGCTCCTTCCATAGCTTCGGGTTTTTGTGTTTTGCCATTAGTTCCCTTCTTATCTTGTGGTGGTTTAGACCTCTGCTGTTGTGTTTCTCTAGAATTTGCTTATA